AAAATTTAACACAAAGCTTAATTTATCTTTTGTATTACCACAGAGGCATTCTCAAACTCGCAAGTTGTTGTCTGTTTGTAATTCAAACACCTTTAACCAAACGTCAGCCGAGCTCACAAACTCACGCAGAATCACTAAAAAGCACCAAAGGCTGTTTTGAAGCAACAACCTTTATCACATCAACCAATTGTGATTGCAACAAAACAACCTAACTAATCAACGTGAGCCTGACTGTTTGATGCATTAAGTGCGAGGGACTCTGAAGTCACTCGTGTTTGTAGAACTGCTCCCTCCCCTGCAGCCATATATACAGTACAGCTTATGCAGAAGAACAGTTTAACAAGTAAAGAGTGAGCTAAACTGTTTCACGAGGTAGTGTGATGAGCCAAAACCACTGCATGACTTTACCTTTCCTGTAACCACATTAAGACGTTAAAAATCGCTTTGAAAATGTAGCTTACATACTTCAGAATGACATAAACACAGTCGTATGAGAGTATTGCTACAAAAGAGAAAGTTGAAATTTCAAACTGTCGAAAGATATTACAGTGATTTTTATGATAATAAAAGGTTTACATTATACTTCTAATAATAGGACAACCATGGTTCCTGAAGCTATCTCGGGGTTTTTTTTTTTGGTTTTTTTACCTGGGCCTTGGTAAGCCTGAGGGTGACCATGTGATACAGGGGGCCAGGGGTCAGGAGCGCTCTTCCCAGTCTGTGTGCCCTCTGGATTAGATGCCCAGTTGTTGGTGGAGCCCCCTGATGGGTCCGCGTTCCACGCCGACCACGGATCATTACCATTAGTAGCCTGCAAGAGTGAAACAGAACTTGTGAGGAATGGAAGACGGGCGGTAATAACAGATCAAACGCGAGAAGAAGAGAAGGAGCAGAGTCAAGTCCAGTCCTGTATGGAGTCTGTTTAATGAGAAGTTGACAGTAGTTTCAAAACAACATCCTTTTCCAAACATTTGATGAGGACCGGGCTTCTCTCAGGGAATCTGCTGAGAGATAAAGCAGCCCGGCAGTGAGTGTGTAGTTTGCATATGCCGCTGTACAGAAGGGTTAACTGAAAAGATCAAAATAATACCCGATAATCTGGAGAAAGAGGCACATGCTTGCATACAAAAACTTCCATTTGTGTTTTTACACAACCTGTTTTTGTTTTTACAGCATTTAAAAATGCTCAAAATGCAGCATGCCATGCTTGCAAGGCAGGCATATATACAATTCTACAATTCTCGAAGGCATGCAAAAACACTGCTGTTGTGCGTTTCTCTTCTGTAGGTTAAAAAAAAAAAATCACCAAAAAAAAATAAACAGGCAAACTACTCAAATGACATTAACAAGCAAGTGCATTGAGGAACAACACTCTAAGAGCATGTGCTTTTAAATTTTGCAGCTCTTATACTTCTCATTACAGAGCAGCACTTAAAAAAAAGTGATTATTACTGATATTTGCATAATTTTCATCATGATTTCTGGTACAAGCGGGTGTTCTGGCCTGATGATTTGTCAGTGTGATTAGTAAAATACATGTGGGGATCATGAACTCTTTTACCACCGATTCATACAGTTTTTCTTTTCTTTTTTAACAGTGTGTGGGTGCTGATTGGTGGAATGTCTTGTCTTGTGCTGAAGTGCAAGGTGAATGGAGAAGTTGAGCTCATGCTTTTTGCAGGCATTAAGGGTTGCAGGGGAATTTGCCAAAGCAGACCAATCAGAGAGGACCGCTTGGGCAAAGAATGAGTGAGGGCGGGAGGGCTTGGGTTCATGCTTTTAGGCCACTCCCACCACCCCAAACTCACGGTTACCTCATCAGGGGACGAAAGGTAGGGGGAAACTGGGGTGTCGGGGGTTTCCGGCTGGGGGCTCAAGCCCCCAGCATCCACCTTGAGGGGAGGGGGAGGGGGAAACAAAGGTGACATCATCACAAAGCGCCAGATGTGACAGTATACACTGTGCAGTGCTTTTTGTTAAAGTGATATAGATGTGTCAGAGGAACAATAGCAGACACATTTCCTGCTTTACCTCACTTGCTGAGCCGCAACATATTTTTACTGATCCAGCAGTATGTTCACTATTGTGGAACTTCCTGCCTGCTAACTGAAGATTTTGGTGGACTGCATATCGTTTAAAAATGACATGACAAAGATTAATATCTCCCACACCAGCTGGTCTCACTTCTGCATCTCTGGGGTTGACGGGATGCATTAACGTCAGTACATTTTTGCCATCGCTCACTTCTGCTTTTTGATTGTTTTCTGTAGCGTAACCCTACCATATATCATTTTTGAATAGGAGAATGGAAGCACGACAGGTGCACCGCTCTATATTTTGTACACCTACTTACCCAGCATTGCACTAGACTTGTGAAATTGAGAAATCTTCACTGGCTGAATGCATTACCTGGTTTTGTGCAGGTGTTGATGCAGGTGCATATGCATCAAAGAAGGACAGGTCTGAACCTGCAACATTTCCTAAACTTGGAGTAGGTGCTGCAGCTGATGGGAACACAGAAAACTGCTTATTGAGCTGCAAATCAAGAAAAAAAGAAAAAAGACAATGGAAGAGAGAGAAAAAAAAATTCCCATTAGTGAACAAATCCAGACATTCCAGCATGATCTAATGATTTTTAAAGGTGCATCCTCATGCGGTAATGTGATCGTCTCATTTTTCACTCGTGGCTTTGCGAAACAGGGTTTTAATTTTCTCAATCTTTCCAAAAAACAGCAGTGTGATTGAAAAACAGACTGAGTTCTGGTGCTTTTCATGAGGCATTACATAAGCTACAAGTGCAATTGTCATCTGTGAGTTTTATATGATTTGGACACAGAATCAAAACAGTCCGGGAGCAGCTGGGGAGGTAACTCGAGGTCAGACAAACAAGCACGCACCCACCAAAACTTGCAAAGTTAAGCAGATGTTTAATATCAATGCCTCTCACCCTCACACACAATCGTTAGCTCTTGTGTGGTAAGTGTTTACAGTGATGTTAAGTTGTTAACATCACAGACTTTAGTTTTAAACAACTCTTTCTGTGTCTGTAAATTTCTTCAGAGTGAATCATATCCTCCACATGAAGTCAGAGTTACTGGATCAAGCCATACACCCGCGCGCGCGCACGCACGCACGCTCGCACACACAAACACCCAAATCAGCAAAACCCTGAATGAGGCACATCCTGTTGTGACTTTAGTTTCACATAAGAGATGGCACCACAGTATGCAGATACATCTTTGTCTGTGACGAGGTGTCTATGAAATGTCTAGCTGATTAATGTTCCACTGCACCCACGGTACATCATGACCTCGGTACAGAATGTTTTGTTTTCGTTTCGTTTTTTTCTTGCTTAATTTTATGTGAATTAAAGTCTCTTTGAATATTCTATGGGGTTTGAAAGCTCTGCTGGCATCTCCTCCATACTCTTCACATCAACAGACACAATATAACTCACTTCAATGTAGTCTTCAGGAACCAGTCCCACCTCCCCTCTTGAGTTCTGTGCTTCCACCCAGCCACCTCCAATACTCTGAAAGAGAGACCCAGCTGCATATTAGTTACAGGAAAGAAAATACAAGGCATGTACTTGGGTATTTCTCCCTTCAGGATATTAGTTTAATAGCCAATAATCAGATAGATTTTTCATTTTACTAAGTCAGTTAATGTTTTAGTTACTTACTTTTTAAAATTTGTATTAAGTTACTGTAAATTATTTGAATCACATTTACAAAGAAATGTTTCAAAGTACAAAATGTTTTGTCTACAATGTTTCTCTCCGACTACTACTTCTTTAAATGCCACATATTTGTGTAATATGTCCAGTCCTATGGTCAGTTGTTACACAGAGGCCACAATACCACAACATAAAGTTCTGCACTTTGAAGAAATTCTGCTTCACATTTTAAAGTAACCTCAATGCCAAAAACTGAAGACGAAGGTAATAATGTAGCACATAGCTTCTGATTTACTTTTCTTGTACAGGTCGTATTACTACAAATCCAAAGAGAACCACATCTTTCCTTAAAAATATCCTTTCAATGCAACAAATGTTGCTTGGTTGATATGAAGCTCGCACATTTTTTTCAGTCCTGCTCGACCCGCAGACAAAACGTGTACTTTTAACTTGGAAGTCTAACTCTCCACTTACCTTTGCGCACTGGATTAAGGAGAAGTTATTTTATATACAAATGGAAGAATCACTTACCCATAAACCAAATACTCCAGATAGATTTAACAGGTGACGGGGGCTTTCCTTTAAAGACACCATATTATCTCCATATTTTCTCTCTGCTCAATAGTGTGTGAAACTTTATATTGATTTATATTTATTTATATATTTGAGTTATGTTTTCTTAATGTCAATACTGTCAAAGCATTTGCATCATCTTCAATTCCCTATTTATATTTTAAGTCTGGTAGCCTGGTAGCCTCCTGCTTATTTTTTGTGTTTGTGTCTATTGTGGCAACATATGTATCCTTAACTTTTTCTTTTTTTAAATTGCTTTGATTAATATCTTCATTGCTTACAAAGCTGTCCTGCAAAAACTTTATCCTGTACCTTACATTTTTAAGGGAAGCTGTATGGTAACTAAAACAGGCTCAGTAATAACTTGTACATATGTGATAGCCTATACACAAAAACTACATGTCACCTGTGGGAACCCAACAGATTGTTTATCAGTCACACTTGGATTTGACTCATTGTGAGTCAGATCTCGAGCTTACCATTTAAACATCATTTTAATGTTTAGTACCAAGCAAAAAAGAAATAAACAGGTAAGCCAGGTATGTATGTACACACCTGAGACAAATTCCTCATCAGTGAAGTTGATGAAAAATAAAAGTTCTGATACGCTGAGTCCTTGATAGCCATGACAGAGACATCGATTGGAAAACTATGTAGGACAGCACTTAACCAGTGACCTTTGAACTGTTTGTGGCTGGCAGCAATGACATCATGTTTGCTTTCTGATTTAGTTTTTTTTTTTTTTTTCCACCTCTTGTCCTTCCTTCTTTTGTCCACATTTGTGACACACGTGACAACGTGAGGTCATGTGCTTTAAGTTTTTTGTTTTTAAATTGGAAGATCCGCACTAAACATTTGATCCCGGACTAATGTCGGCAATGTTGTTGTAGGCAAAGTAATTAAAAAATGATGGTATCCACAACACAAGCAAGTTTTATGATTTAATGATTACAGGCAGATGCAAAAAAAAAACAAAAAAAAAACCTCATATCGTACACGTCACATCTAGACAGCTTCTTTACAGCTGAGAGTGTGAGACTTTACCCCTGATGCTAAACAGATGAAAAGTAGAGCAGTGTTTGTATTATTTACCTGATTGGTGATAATAATTGTCTCGCCTTCTTTCACTGACAACTCATTGTTTCCAGGCTCAGCAGTGAAGTCGTATAAAACCTGTGCCTGCAGACAACAACAACAAAAAAAAGTTCTAAGGTTTACTATATAACTGATTAACAAACTTCAGACTTATATGAGGCCGTGGTGAAACAGGCCAAACTTGTTCTTGGTATGGTATGCTTACTCTCAACTAAATTCTTGCATCAACCAAAACACGGGCAGACCCACAACGTTACCCAGTTCAGCTTAATACAGGAGCCAACAAGGTCTCTCACAGTGACCCACATGTACTAATCTGTCATTCCTCCATGGGCCCAGAGAAGCTCACACACACACACGCACACGCACACGCACACACACACACACAAAAACCCCACATCTATCTATTCATCTATACTCATAAATGAATTTGAGACAGTAGACGGAAACCTTTCCAGTATGTTGTAAGTTAAATAAGCACAAACCCACACACAAAGTGTGTAGGGAAATTGTTCATTAACCATTGAGATGGAATGCAAGGCTATTAGGAAGCCATCAAAATAACATTTGTTTCAGTGTCCACCAACCACCACCCTGCAGTCCGGGAAGCTGAATGAGGTTTTTGAACAGAAGCATATTACCAGAAAATGACAATAAATGTTTTCATGTCTGATGATGATCTTAAAAAAAATCTAACTGAATTATCAGGTCGTTCTGTCGTTGGTCCCTCACATACATGTTTTTTACTGTGCTGACTGCTGCATTTTTTATTAACACCATTTATTTTATTTTATTAAGGATTACTTAAAATAAAAAGCAGACCTGTGTTATTATTCTCAGTAGGATTTTTTGCATATCATAAACCATATCTAGAGTAGAGGGGATATTTAACTTCTTAGTTTTACGTACGGTTTATCTTTATACACACTCTGCTTCACGTACCATTTCCGGTTCCCCTAAAAGAACACTCATTAGGTCCAAATGCGAACAATACTATGAGCAAAATTATCGTGTTTGCAGTGCTGCAGCTACATTTATGGCCCTGTAGTCCTCACCTAAGGTAAACAGTAGTCACATATGGTACGAACAGTGTTTTGAGAAAAGACTACATTTCCCAGAATTCCGCGGAGGCAGCTATGACCCACAGTGGAAAGGTAGTAAAATGTCACAAGACACTTCGTTAATGAGACACATTTTCCATGTATAGCAAAAGCATTCGTTTCTCGCTGAGCGCATACAGATGTGCGACAAGCGGCCATAACGCTTTTAAAGCAGACTCCCTAAATGCTTTCAGCCTTAATGCGGAGCTCACCGAGTGAAGTCTTCACTGTAAAACTAATGCGAGAAACTACACTTCTGACTGTCCAAGTCTACAGCCCTCAGTATTGGTGAAAAACAAGCTCCAGGGGACACCCAAGAAGCCAGCGTAGTCGTGCTGGGGCTTTAAGAGAAGCCCAGGAAAGTTGTCAAACCCACCTTTTGCGCCATTATCGAAGCATTGATCAATCATTACAAAAACAGGCCCTGTAGTTTTCAGGATTTCCAGTCCTCAGCTGGACATTTCCTCCGCGCTTCTCTTCAACTGGAGGCGAAGCAAACACGATAACTCCTCCCGGTGGAAAGCCGCCGCGACAAATGCATTAACACATGACTTAAAAACAGTAGGTCGTTTAAAAACTCAAAAATCCGAGAAAACGAAAGGTGGGAAGGAGACCAGCTGAGTGCGACTACCAAGTTTGAAGCGCGTAAAGAGCTGCTGACAGTACAGAGGGAGTGACCTGCAACGCGCACAGAAACCGGAAAGGTAGTCCAGGTCCGATATGGTGGCTCCTCCAGAGAGACTACACGACTGTTTAAAATCGCAAATAATTTTTTTTCAATATGAAGAAATAAAACACTTCATAATTAAACGATGATTAAAAAAAATACAATATATATATATATATAAAACGTGGTAACTAAAATTTTTAACTTGTCGGAAAAAATAAGTAATAACAATAATAATCAAAATAGTAGTAGTAATAAAAGAATTTCTACTATTTGCGGGATTTTTTTTTACATTTTCCAGTGCGTTTTTTAATTGTGTGTTTACTCATATGGGCCTGACAGCTCAGAGGGAGTGACCCTGAACCTAAACTTATGTTTACTCTTTTGTTTAAGTCTCCCTCTGCTGGCCTCATTGTGCAAGTGCGTTTTTATTGTTGGTGGGGTTTTTCTTAACGTTTTCAATAACAGCTCAAACGCCTAGCACATGCCAACAGCATGACATCTGTAGTCCTTCTCACCCATTATCACCTTCTCATATATCAAATATTTATTCGAGCCAAAATAATTCCGTGGTTCAGGACTGTGAATAGTGTGGTTGTTCTCTGAGTATTGTATTAAAATCCTAATCTCTGAAGGCCACAAAGAGTTTTTGTTATTCAAAATTTCAGCTACAGTAAGTCTTCATGTCTTTATTTTTAATATCTGAATTTCAGCTTTAATAGATTTTCAAACAAATCCTAAACCCATGGTTTGTTCTTTTTGTCCAGCTGATGTTTTGTAATTTGAGCTTGAGCTAACCTGAGGAGGGGCATCAGTACTGCCAAATCAGAATACAAGAGGAGAATATAGGAACATGTTAATGACCCCAGACAGGTGTGGAGGGGCATACAGACTATTACCAACAAAGGATGTCCTGTGACACTCAGATGCAGGGCTAGCAGAGGAGCTGAACAGCTTTTTTGCCCGTTTTGAGTCTCAAACACTGCACTCAGCCACACCATTCCAACAACCACTACAACCCACACCAGACTCTAGCAACCCCCCACTGACTCTTGAGACACAGGATGTGAGGCATGTGCAGTAAACCCCAGGAAGGCTGCAGGTCCCAATGGAGTACCTGGGAAGGTGCTCAAGGCATGTGCCAAGCAGCTAGCGCAGGTCTTCACTGGCATCTTCTTCAACCTGTCTCTGGAACATCCCACCTGCTTGAAATCTGCCATAATCATCCCCATCCCTAAAAAGTCACCCACAACCAGTCTCAATGACTGCCGTCCAATTGCACTAACCCCTGCCATCACCAAGTGCTTCACGAAACTGGTTCTGGGGCACATCAGAACCTGTCTCCCCCCCGCTCTGGACTCACACCAATTTGCATATCAGACTAACAGATCCACCGAAGACACCATAGCCACTGCTCTCCAAACAAGTACTGAGTCACCTGGAGCAACAGGAGAGCTATGTCAGAATGCTCTTCACTGACTTCAGCTCAGCCCTCAACACAATAATACCGGACATTTTGATCACCAAGTTACTCAACCTGGGGCTCCCCCCACCCACCTGCTCTTGGATAAAGGACTTTTTGGTCAACAGATCCCAGCAGGGGAAACTGGATCCTCGCCTCTCCTCCTCCCACACTCTCAGCACCGGCTCTCCCCAGGGCTGTGTACTAACCCACTACTCTACTCCCTCTACACATCTGAGTGCAGTCCTGCCCACCCAGAGGACATCATTGTTAAATTTGCTGATGACACAACGGTGTTGGGGCTGATCACAGGGGAAAATGAGGTGGCCTACAGAGATGAGGTCCTGAAACTGGGAGAATGGTGTGCATTAAACAACCTGGCACTTAACATCACCAAGACCAAGCAACTCATCCTGGACTTCAGGCGGAACAAAGCTGCCCCTGCCCCCCTGCCCATCAACAGTGAGCGAGTGCAATCCTTCAAATTCCTTGGCATCCACATCTCTGCAGTTCTCTCCTGGTCAGTCAACACCACGGTGCTAGTCAAGAAGGCCCAGCAGTGGCTACACTTCCTAAGGGTGCTCAGGAAGGAGCAACTAAACACCTCACTGCTGGTGACCTTCTACATATCCATCGTCGAGAGCCTGCTGACCTATGCCGTGTGGCACGCCAGCTCCACGGAGGCAGACAGGAAGAGACTGCAGAGGTTGGTAAACACAGCACAAAAAATCATCAGCTGGCCTCTGCTCTCCTTGTCTACCATCTATAACTGCAGTTGTTTCAGCAGGGGCAGAAACATCTTTAAGGATATCACCCACGTCGGCTACCATCTTTTTAACCTGCTGCCCTCTGGCAGGCGCTTCAGATCCATATGGGCCAGAACAAACAGACTCAGGGATAGCTTCTTCACCATACTCTGTCTCTGTCACCCGGTGCTGTGTATTTATATTATGTGTGTAGTTATATTATTGTATAGTTTTTTATAATATGCTAAGCACTTGTACACTTTTATGGAGCTGTTTTAAATCTCATTATACTGTGCATAATGACAATAAAGGCTTTCAGTTCAATTCAATTCAATTTTTGATACCTGTCAGTTACAATTATCTTTTATTTTGTCTCCTGATTTCCTGGGTTATCATTATTGGTAAAGACTTACAGCACTGTGTAAAAGTCTTTTTTATATATATTTTTCTCAGAAATTGCAGTGAAACAAGTGCAAGCATACATAGAAATACAGGACAAAAGGCAAAAACAGAGCTTGTACAGTTCTAATACACTTGAACCTTTATTCTTTAACACAGCCTGAACTCTCTCAGGTAAACTTTCTTTTGATTTTTAAGTAGTCTTCAGAATTAGTTCTCCAGACTTCTTGAAGGACATTGAATGCTGTTCTTTCGACGCCCTTTCTTTCATTCTCTGTCAAGATGATCTCACACTGCTTCAAAAATGTTGAGCTCTGCGCTCTGGGGAAGTCAGTTTCTGTGATTTTCTATCCAGATATACTTTTACTGCCTTGACAGTGTGTGTTGTCCATCAATCAACCCACTCTCCTAAACAGAAAGTCCAACAAACAATAAATTCTAGCATGCAAAAACTTCTATGAATATTTGTTTGCAATGATCAGTGCTGTCAACCAGTTTATCACTGACAATGATGACGATGACTAAAGAAATCTTCCTCTCTCCTTATGTGCTCAAGTTAAGAAAACATTGCATATGTTGGTAAAAAAAAAAAAAAAAATAAAACAAACCTAGACTGTGCAACTGAACCTGTGAACAGGATGGTTTGCACAGTAAAATGACCAAAGAAGTGTCATGTGTAAGAGCACTCAAGTCAGTTGTTATGTAAGTTGTAACTCTACTTGAAGTGAAGTGCTTTTCCTTAAAATATTAGATATTTGTTCAGCCACTGCATAGAAGAAGAATCTCTCTGAAATGTTCGCTAAAGAATATGAGACGGTTAAAGATTGCACACTGTAAAAAATAACACATGAACAAGGAAATAAACCTAAAACTTTTGTATCTTAGGATCTGAATGCAGCACGCAGAGACTAACTACACAATTCACATTCCTGCGCCATGAAATTCTTTTGGCTCGACTCAAGCCTTTGATATATGAGAACGTGACAGTAGGTGAGAAGAAAGTATTATACATTTCACTTCTCCTTAGCACCCATTCATATGTCAATCACCTGAGCCTGGCAGTTATAAAACAAAACAAAACAAAGTGTAGGTGAAATCTTCAGCCTACCTGTGGACATTTTAGTGCTGTATGAAAAGCACTGTGGCTGGAGACTGCTAGTACATAAAAGATTCAATTACGGATTTAATACTAAGGCTTTAAAGAAGTTGAGTTTGAAACTCTTGTGAGGTTTTACAAGGATGAGAATGTGACAGGGAGCCCAGTTTTTATTGTTCAGCAAGGGCAAACAGTAAATGCCTGAGCACTTTTTTCCCCCCCCCACTATCACTTGAGCTGATCTCGAAACGCAGGTGTGTCTTTGGATGGTGGGAGGGAGTTTGGCAGCCCCGCTAGTATTCAGCTCAGTTTGAAGAGTTTCAGCTTTGCAGAGACATCATGTGCTCTCCGCTTCCCTTTTTCTCCCTGCTACTGATCTGCGCAACAGGGTCATGGGCGATGGATGTCACAATGCCCTTTATGGAGTACCTGGACCAGGAGCAACTGGTGTGCCTGAAGTGGGGCTTTGACAATCCAGCAGGTGACATTACATTCCAGCTGGCGGTCAACACCACAGGCTGGGTGGGTTTTGGTTTGAGCCCGAACGGAGACATGAAAGGATCAGACATCGTCATAGGAGGAGTTGGATCCAGTGGAAGCTACTTCTCGGTTAGTTATGAAATAATTATAAATGAGCAGCTGTTGTATTTTTACTTATCTAGTATAAACAGCTGGAAGCTTTCATCCTCATACATCCTGTTTAATTTAATTTTGTGTTTTGGTTTTCTTTTCAGTTTCATATCAGTTGTTTTAGTTTGGATTCTATTGAAAATTATTCATTTTTGTTTAGTTTTTAGATTTGCATAGTTTTCGTTTTTAGTGTTACTGTGTCCTGTTCGGTACTTGTCAAGGACAGAAATAGAAAAAATAGATACAGCGGTGTGAAAAAGTGCTTGCCACCTTCCTGATTTCTTATTATTACATGGCCCTGTGTGAAAAAGTGATGGCCCACACCTTGTTAAATCACAAATTAACTGTGATTAACCACATGTTATACAAAGCTGAGTTCAGTGTCACTGCCACACCCAGGGATGATTACTGCCAGACCTGCTGAATCAAGAAATCACTTAAATGGAACCTGTCTGACAAACTGAAGCGGGCTAGGAGATCTCAACAAAACATTTCATGATCCAAAGAAAAAGCTGAGAAACAAAGTCACTGACATGTATCACTCTGCAAAGGGATATAAAGGAATTTCTAAGGCTCTGGGACTCCAGTGAACTATGGTGAGAGCCATTATCCACGAAAGGAGAAAACTTGGAACAGTAGTGAAGCTTCCCCAGAGTGGCCAGCCTACTAAAATTACTCCAAAAGTGCACTGATGAC